GGTCAGGGCACAGCCCAGAGCAGGGCGGGCTGGAGCCAGGTTGCCCATCAGTGTATCTCCAGAGGTGAACCAACCTTCCCCAACCTGATGATGACAATTTTGGAAAAAGATACGAAACTACACGTTGGTGTTTATCAGTTTAAAATATATATTGCAACACCATATGAACAATCTCCTATAAATTCAGGATAGCTGAATTTTAGGCACTGAATTAATTGAGCATATGTCAGTAGTTTGGGTTTTTGTCTTTGCACTTTGGTGGCCTATACTTTGTTTGTATAGTATGAGGCTGACAGCATGAGGCTGAGCCATCTCTGATTCCCTGGGTTTGATGGCATCTGTATTTGATCCAGGTTTGGGGCTTCCACTCACACTGATCTGAACTTCCTTCTGGGGCGTCAGAACCAGGCAGGATCTTTCTGCTTGGCCTCCCTGACCACACTGGGGGGATACAAGAACCCAGCGGAGGATGGAGCCGTTCTGGCTTTTCTGTGGCTGAAGGGAGGGAGGGAGCAGGGAATACTGGGCAGAGGGTGTGTCCAGTTTGCCCTGGGTCTGAAGGGCCAGGGCTGGAACGGGGCGGTGGGGGGAATGATTCATAGTTGTCCTGAGCCATGAAATTAGAGAGGGTGAGTTCCAGGAAGGCCTCTCACAGGGGAGAATACGTACTTTCTGGTTTTCCCGTGTTTGGTTTTCTAGTCAGGCAGTGTGCTTAGTTTCAGGCTTTTTGTTGAATGACTAAAACAGACTTCTTCCCTGGGGTTATTGAGTGTAAAGTCTAGTCAGGAAAACAGAGCTTTGTTTTTGTTTATTTTACAAGATGTTACAAGTAACGCGATCCCGAGAAGTGGGAAAAGTGGTGTGAAGGGAGACACAGGGTTTTGTGGGGATGTAGAGCAGGGGATGGAACTTGCCTGGGGTCTCAGGGAAGGTTCCCCAAGTAAGATATTTAGATAGAACTCTGAAGACCAATTTGGAGTTTAATCAGGCCACAAGGGGCCAGAGGAGCATCCTTGGGGAGACACAGCTGGTTGAGGCTGGCTGAGACGGCTCCTTTTAAGGAAAAGCCATTTGTTACTGAGCGCTATTGAGATGGAGGAGAAGGGGCAGGGGCTGTTGCACGGGGTCTTGTGATCTGTTTATAGTAGAGTTATTTTTCAACCACTGGCAATAGAAAACTGTTAAGGGGTTGTGACAGCTCATCCACTCAACAAGTATTGGTTGGTGTCTGCTACTAGGCACTGTTACCCAGAGGTAATCTAAGCCCTCAGGATGTAGGGCTCAACAAGATGGACAGAGCTTATAATCTCTCTGACTGTTAAAAGAGCAAAGAGCAAGACACAAGCAACAAACCGATGAGGAACTGTCAGGAATTGCTCTGCTGAAGTGGTTATGGACTGTGACTTGCGGGAGAGAGTAGACGCGGATTTGATTGAGTCCCAGTCAGGGAAATCCTGTCCTGAGAGGTTTCTTTGGGCTGAGACCTGAATGACAAAAAGATCTGGCCTTAGGATCACCTGGGGAAGAGCTTTCAGGCTGAGGGAAAAGTTGCCCCAAAGACCCCGAGGCAAGACCTAGCTTTGCAGGTTTGCGGAGGCCAAGGAGAGCGCTGTGTCTGGAGTGTAGTGAGAGGAGATGCGGTCTGAGCCTCTGTGGCCTCCCAGACCAAGGGGAGGAGTGAGGATTTTATTCCAAGAGTTTTGGATGCCGTTGGAGAATTTGCAGCAGGAAGTGTCTTGTTCTGATTCACCTTTGGAAAAGAACACACTGGTTAGTTCATATAATATAGGTTGTGGAGAGGCAGGAATGGAAACCAGAAAGTCGTTTACGAGGCTTGAAGTAGCCCAGGTGGGTGATGACAGAGTCATGAACAGACTGGGGACAGGATCTGAGGATGAGCCAGTGGGACTTCCCAGTGGTTTGGAGGTGAGGGATGAGGGAAATAGAAGAATCTAATGTGACTCTTAGGTCTTTGACCCGGGTTACGCATTGAGTACTGGAACTAGTTAAGCAGTCGGGGTATAGCACTGTGGTGAAGCCCATGGGCTATGGACTCCAGTTGCTTGGTTTGAAATCTAGCCCCGCTGCCTCCATGAAATAAGGTCCTATCAGTACTGTCACAAGAGGTGAAGATTCAGTGAGTGCAGAACGGCGTCACTTTGTAGACCTGTTTGCTCTTCTAGGAAACAGGCCTGGTGGGGACACCCAAGAATTCTGTTTCGGCTGTGTGCAGTCTGAGCTGCCCAGCAGAGAAACAAGTTTGTGTGTGGAGAGGGTAATACAGAGGAAAAGTCAGGGATGGAAATGGACATTTGGGAGTCATTTACGTATCGCACTGAAAGCTACAGGACTCGACGAGACTTCCTCTGAGATTACTTAATAGACACAAATGATTGTGGACCACTAACCTCTAAGAATGATGTGAACTTTCCTTTGTAAAGAATAGCTCTCCTTCTTGAGAGGGAGGTTTATATCTACCAGCAACTTAATTTTGGGAGAGCATCTTTCTCCCAAACCCTTTTTTGTGGCTGCTAAGGGAAGGTGGAAAGTCCTAATAGTGTGTTGGTGGGTGGGGAGGGGGGACAGTGATAACAGAATCTATTTTTCCCCTGAATATTTAAATTCCTACTATTAGTGTCCATGATACCCATTGTAGAACTAGACCTACACCTCACAGGATGCAAACTTTGATGTGAGGGAATGATGAGCTGGGGTAGGGTTAGGTTGGATAGAATGACGTTTCAAAGCCCTCAAAAGAATTTTAGCTGTCAGAATATTGCACGTATCCCAGAAGCTATGCTTTGCATACTGATTAAGCAATCATGACCTATTTAGTTTGATTTATAATGAAAAGAAAATCTATGATATGTTAATGAAAAATCTTGGCATATTTTAGTCTATGGTAGGGTTCAAACTGGAAAAGGACCAGATGAGTAGGAATAATTACATGGCAGACTAAAATTATCTCCTTTATAGAAAGATAACCACACAATGGGAGGTCAAGAGGTCATCTGTGTCCCTGGGTTTGATGTTGCTGTTATTTTTGTCACCGTTTTTTATGTGCCTTGATTTGAAAGAATCCAAGAACACGCACCAAAAAAATTTCCCTCCACCCTCTTCTTTTTTCTTCTCTGCTGCTTTTTAACATTTTTAGGCTTCAAGGAGGCACAGGGGAGGTGGGTGGTTTTGGGGAGAAGAGGTGGGGAGGCCACTGGAGGAGAAATTGAATCTCTTCTGTAGTAGAAGGAATAGGAATTTGGAAGTGTAGTGTTGGCTTCATTTTAATAAGTGTTCAACCTTTGCTAACCCATGAAACTGCCCCATTAACAAACCCCTCTGAGTTGTACCACAGACCAAATGGTAAATGTATAAATGGGGAGAAGTTCGTGGGATGGAATTTAAGCCATTCCATCTTTTTGGAAAGTAAAACTCTAACAGAAGAGTAAAACTCTAACATTGAGCATTGACAAAATGCACAATGCTTGAAAATTGAAACTTAGTTTATGATTTATTTACTCTTTGATTCTGTGCCTCTAAGACTTCCAGACCATTATGGTCAGGAAAGATTATTATCTCTTTTTACGAGGAACCTGTTGTGGTACCCCTGGGTTCAGAAGTGCCAGTGAAGATTAAAAACCTAATTTTGAAAGATCATGTAGCCAGTCTCTCACATGGTCATTCATTCTTCTTACCTTTCAGCTTTCATCTTATCACACAAGTAAGTTCTACTTTTCTAGATTCAAGTGGTAAATCTGTGTTTTGATAGCATGTTTAGGGAATCTTTGGAAGAAAAGAAACCTAAATTTTTTGTCTGCCTTTGGTGAAATGCTGCAGATGCCACTGTTAAAATAATGCTCTCTTTTAAGTCCTGTAATAGAAAGTAGATTCGGGTTAGAAAATATCTCCTTGTGAAAAGTGTTGAATTTTAAAATCTGTCTTCTTTCTATATGTAGAAAAGTGCTCTAAGTCAGAACACTTTAGAAGATGACATGCTTTCTCCTTTTGATTATTAATACTGACTTTCAAATTAGTAAGACATGAAAAGAGGAGTCTGCATGAAAATTCAATAGAATTCCTTTTATTTGGCTTGCAGAGAAGCTTACCCAACACTTTTGAAGCTCACCTGTCTAACCGTTAAATGTTACCATTCTGTATAGAAAAAATATATGTACAGACACACACACACACAGATATTGTGGAATATTATTTAGCCACGAGAAAGAAGGAAATATTGCTGTTTACAACATCGATGGACCTTGAGGACATTGTGCTAAGTGAACTAAGTCAGAAAGAGAAGGATGGATGCTCCATGGTATCACTTATATAGAATCTAGAAAAAAGTCAGACTCCTGGAAATAGAAAGTGCAAGTGTGATTGCTGGAGGTAGGGGTATGGGAGAAATAGGGAGAGGTTGGTAAGAGTACACATTTTCAGCTATAAGATGAATAAGGTCTGAGGATCTAATGCATAATGTTATGACTGTAGTTGATAAAACTGTATTGTATGATTAAAATTTACTAAAAGATAAAGCTTAAATGTTCATATATATATATGGTGATGGATGGGTTAGTTCACTAGATGGAAAGGAGCCCTTTCACAATATATATATAAAATCATCACAATGTGCACTTTAAATATCTCACAATTTTGTTTGTCAGTTTTACCTCAGTAAAGTTGAGGTGGGGGTTAGTGGGGGAAGCTATCTATTCTAGCAGCCAAACTGAATTCCTGCAAAATAAAGCCTATTTTTCTGTTGACTTTCACTAGAAAATAGGAAGGTTACTTATACTCAAAACAAAACAGTATGCAGTCTTCAATGAGTTCATGCATATAAAGTATTTAATAAATGAGAGCTGCTATTTGCTTATTACAGTTAAACCTTTGCCAAAGAAAGGTTCAACACTGGACCAGATTCAAGCCTTATTGCGAAGTGCAGGTTCCTGCAAAGCTGATATTTTCTGGAATTGCTTTAGAGCACTCAAGGACAAATTCCCCTTGCTCACCTTAAGGTCACCATGGCTCTTCTCCAGATTTAGAAACTTCACGCTTCAAGGTCCTGACTCGCACCTGTAGCTAAAGTCTGGAGATCCACCTGGATTCTTTTTCCTCCCTTTGGCCTCATGTGGCTCTTGCTCTAGTTGATTCAGGCACTCAGGATACCATGATGATGAACAAGATGCAGTCCGAGGCAGGAGGGTGTAGCTCAGTGGTAAACTGCATGCTTAGCATGCATGAGGTCCTGGATTTAATCCCTAGTACCTCCATTAAAAAAAAAATGTGATCCTTGCCCTCAGGAATTTTGGCAGTGGAGGTTGTGATACAGTAGACAGATTCCAGATCTGTTTTTGAGGTTGAACCAACAGGTCTCTTGATGTGTTGGATATGGAACATGAAAGTAATAGAAGGGGAAAGATGATACAAAGTCTCCTATTTGTGTATTGAATGGATTACTCTATTTCCTCACCAATATGCATGAGAAACTTCTGCATAGAAAAGTTTTCCTTCATATTTTTCAAAATCACAATGTATGCAGGAAGAGTCTCGAAAATTAGAATTGAGCTTAATTCCAAATCCCAGCCCATCGTGTAGGAACATGTTTCATCTATGTTTAATATAGTGCTTTCCTCACTTCCACCATGTGTGGATTCCATTTTTTAAGTGCCATTTCTCATAGATCTGATGTCATGGCCCAGGTACTACTTTGTGAAAACTTTGTCAGCTTCCTAAAAATATAACTGGTATCACAATTCCACATTTTTCTTTATTTGTAAATAAATCCTTTTGTTTTTAAGGCTAAAACTACTACATTTACATCTTTGTTTTAAAAGATATCTCTATGCCTTTAAAACCAAGCATTCAGACACTGCTTTGGAAACCTATTTAATGGCATGTTTCTTCTGAAGAATTCTCAGCATGTGCCATTTTAGGATCATACCTCCTAAAATCTGGTAATAATGATTAAGGTTTTTATTTCTGGTCTACTTTTAGTACTATTTTAACTGCCTTATCACTAATAACAAGTTAGATGTTAATATTTTATTTTGTCAACTGCCCGAAATTGTGTGATTTCATATGATCAAAAATATTTTCCCGCCATAATTAATACCTACAATCCTGTAGTAAAATGTAAAAATAAAATTGTAACTTGAATAACTGATATTTTTGTACCTCTGCAGGAAGCAGAATTAGGCAACTATTCTAAAAGCCGTTCCTTCCTTTTATCTTCTCATGACTCATTTTCTGCTCAATCCAGGACTGTCTGGGGCCCACCTTCCCCGTTCTACTCACACTACTCTCTCCAGAGACACAAATTACCTCCTGTTCACCTGATTCTTCTCTGACCCTTATTCCCCTTGGTCGTTCCCTGGTCCCTAGGAGATGTCTGTTTAGAGGGGACATAGGCTTTTTTTTCTGCTTTTTTTTTTTAATTTAAGTATAGTCAGTTACAATTTATGGTGTACAGCACAATGTCCCAGTCATGCGTATACATACATATATTCATTTTCATATTCGTTTTCATTAAAGGTTATTAGAAGATATTGAATATAGTTCCATGTGCTATACAGAAGAAATTTGGTTTTTATCTATTTTTATATATAGTGGTTAACATTTGCAAATCTCAAACTCCAAAATTTATCCCTTCCCACCCCCTTTACCTCAGTAATCATAAGATTGTTCATTGCATCTGTGAGTCTGTTTCTGTTTTGTAAATGAGTTCATTAGTGTCCTCTTTTTTCTTTTTTTTAGATTCCACATATGAGTGATATCATACAGTGTTTTTCTTCTCTTTCTCGCTTACTTCACTTAGGATGACAATCTCTAGGTCCATTTATGTTACTGCAGATGGCATTATTTTATTCTTTTTTATGGCTGAGTAGTATTCCATTATATAAATATACCACAACCTCTTTATCCAGTCATCTATCAGACATTTAGGTTGCTTCCATATCTTGATATAGGTTTCTGAACAGATCCATTGCAGTACTATATTCCTAAAACTGTTGAAAAAAAAGTTGCTATATTATCTTAAGATTTTATACCCTTCTTATTCCAAGCTCTAAGTATTAGAAAAATAAGTGCTAGTTCTATTTTGCCTTTTTGTCATTGCTTTTACCCACATAAATAGTAAAAGCTTAAATTGCCTTTGAAATATGCATTTTCTAATTTGTGTTTGCCTTTGATGGCTAGAGTTTTCATTGTCTCTCTTTTTTTAAATTGTAGTATATAGTTTACTTACAATGTTGTGTTAGTTTCTAGTATACTGTGTAGTGATTCAGTTATACATAGATATATATTATTTTTCATATTCCTTTGCATTATAGGTAATAAGCTGTTGAATATAGTTCCCTGTGCTATATAGTAGGTCCTTGTTGTTTATCTATTACTATTTCTTCATAGAGTTAATACACAAATAATTCTCTACTCTCAGAGCAGTTCCACTATTTGTGATTAAAGATCTGCACATTCAGATCTAGACTTGTATCTGTATGTTCTTCCCAAATTCAGATTTAATGGTCTGACTTCCTGTCCAGTTAACAGCTGCCAACCTGTCTTCCCCAAATAATAAATAGAAACAGTTACTTCTATGGATCATCTTCTTCCTACATTTGTTTAAGAAAGGGAAATTTCAAAGTCAGGAGAAAGGCGATGGATGTTTTATAGGCAATCATGCTATATAAACTGTGTTCTTATTTTTGTGTTTTATTTCTAGCTATAAGAAAACACATGAAACCCTGAGTCACGCAGGGCAGAAGGCGACTGCAGCTTTCAGCAACGTCGGGACGGCCATCAGCAAGAAGTTTGGAGACATGAGGTACTGTGGGGAGAAACATGGGCCCGGGGCTAAGAGGGAAGGGGGACATTATCTGTCCATCGGCTGGTCTTCTTAACATATTCTTTTTTAATGGATTAAAATGTTACGTGGCTGACAGTTGGTCACTGAAATACATTTTTATATTGAGATGTTTTCTGCCTAAAGGTAGTTTAGTGGGGCTGGTCTCAGAGATGCCCTTTCCACTAGGACCTGACCTAGTAAAAACAGAAGATAGAGGGTGCCCTTAATCCCCAGTAATAAGGGAGGATTTTGAAAGAATGCAGCATACACTGAATTTTAATCATTGTCATTTAAACAATAAATTAAAATATGCATTCAGTGGAATATGCTCTGATAAATTATTCTTGGTCACATTTTTGCATATAGCCATCTATTATATATTTTTTCTATGCATAGATATATAAATGGATAGATATTTATTCTTTTATGCTAAAAAGTACCATATGGTGTGTGCTTATGGTAGTTTTCTTTCTTCACTTCAGCAATGTATTGTGAATACGTTAATAAATGTTTATTACATCTTCATTTTTAATGGCTATTATCTTCCAGGGCATAGTTGTAGTAAAACTTCTAAACCAGCCCCCTGTACATTCTGGTTATTTTCAGTATTTATTATATAAAATTAGGGTAAACATCAGGATTTTGAACTGAGAACCTAATGACCTCACTATAGACACTAGAAAAACAAAAGTAGTATTGACCGTTTTAATCTTTTATATCATATTCCAGGAAATTATTTTATATAGAATTGCTACTCTCATATTTTTTGCTTGTTTAAATACCTATCATAGTTTATTTTGAATTTGGCCAAGGAAGTTTTTTTTACATATCAACGTCATCTTTCTCTCTAGAAATCAAATTCGTTTTTAAAAACCTTCTCAAGTACACTTTACATTTCTTTTAAAGAAAAGTGTGTACTATTTCACTGGATTCTTAAACTGTTACTTTCTTTATTCCCCTTCAGCTTTGATACCTAGAGGCAAATATTTATATCTTTATGTTTAAGTTATTTTTTTGGCTTCAAAAATTGCTAGATTGTGCCCAATATTCATGCATCATCTTAACAACTTGACATTCATGAGGCTAGAGTTAAGTAAGTACATATGCATGAATCTGAGTATATTGTTTTAGCTTCATTTTTGCTAATAAAACAATAATGAAAAGCAATTAAAATTCTTCAGAGGCAGTGTGTGATAAACAGGTAAACATTCTGGATTATTAATTAACCCTAATTTTATTATGAATAAACTTTGTAGTCATTTCAGTGGCATTAAAACATTTATCTAAATGAATTAATTTCTTAAAAATAGGAAAGACTTTACCACATTTTGTATCCAAGAAAACATATTTTTCTATGTTTATAAAATAGAATAGAACAGAAAATAGTGTGATTGTTCACACACTAGTTGAAAACTTTCATTTGAACACCAGAATCACAGCATAATAACTGCCAGCTAGAACAGTGTTTCTTCCACTTTAGGGGCCCTTACAGACCTCTGAAGCTTGCTTAAATGCATATTTCCAGATTCTACCTCTCTACCCGACACTGTACCTCAGTAGGTCCCAAGTAATCTGACTTCAGGTGGTCGGGTTATGAGAAGACCAGGCATAGCTTAGCTCACCTGGACCTGGGTGTTCTCAGTTATAAATGAAGATAAGACTTAACACGGTCATCAGGTTATTATACAAGTGGCAGAAGAGAGTCTGTATCACATGCTAAATAAATGCTGGTTTTTATCTTTACTAAGTGACTGTCTCAGTTACAAGGTGGCCCCACAGGCCAAAACTTAGGGAGAGCCATGAACAAGAGCATGCTGTGTTTCATAAAGACTCTACTCATTTTTCTAAGTTGTAAAGAACGAAGACTGTGTTTTCACAGTTGACATACTCGTTGAGTATAGTACCAAGGTTGTGCTGACTGCCTTTCCTCCTGTTTCAATGTGGCTTTGTTTTAGCATAATGGATAACCTATTTCCCAGGAGTTCCAAACTTTTCATTAATTATTGCTCTGTGCAGAGAACATAACACTTTCATTATAAACTGTAGCTAAAAATATTGGGAAATGGAGCTTATGTTACTAGACATTCAAATATGGCCTTGTAATATTTTGTAGACTTTTATTTTTCTCAAACTATAATAGCTAACATTCGCATATAAATGAGGATAAGTCCCTGTGACAGTGACAAGTTTCCACAAAGAATTTTTAGTTTTAAATTATACTAGAACAGATACTATACGTAAAAGTCGTATTTGAAAATTGCTTTAGTTTAACATAATAAGGATAAGGATTCTCAAGTGAGAAAAATTAGTAAGTTTTAACTTTTTCATTTAAGTTAATTTGTCAATTTATAAAAATGATAGCAGGGAAATGTAAAAATTTTATTGCAAGCATTTTACTTTGAACCTCTTTTTGGTTTAAAAATATCATATTATTTTATATTTTGTTAGTTACACCATCAAATCCTTTTGTGAATTCTGGGAACAAATTTCTGAACTTGTTCAAAAAGGTTGCCAGCAAAATTCAGATATCTGAGAAGAAAAACAGTACCTCTCAGTTTTTCTTTAAAATAATTACAAGTTAATACTTAACAGATTTTGAAAAGCTAGACTTTGGGCCTTTTAATAATTGGACGAAAAGCACAATGTTAGGATTTAACTTAGATATTTTATAAAAATAAATAATATTTCCTGAGCAAGGTTCTCCTTTTAGCCTCATTGCCATTAAGTGAAGTTCCCTAAGCCCAGTCACGGAACTGCTCCACCTCCTTCTCCGTCTGTAGAGTAACTGTTAATAGCTACCTAACCAAACTTTTTTCTGAAATTAAAATAAGGTCACATTTATGAAAGCACTCAAGAAATGCAAGCTGTTAGAATCACTTTTATAATGATAATTCCACTTTCTTGGAACTTCTCGGTGAATGTGTTACAACTGCATGTGATCTAGTAGAGATGCAATCTCTGGAGGGGTCCTAGGGCTTTGTAAGAGTCCAGGCATCTCTACGGATCCATGGGAAAGACAGAGAGCAGCACAGGCTGGTAAAGTCATTGTGAGGACGAGAAAGTCAGTGGACTCAAAAAAAGCAACGAATGGAGTCCTCTCATTTTGGGGTGGCTCTTGAAAGCAGGGACGGCGGGTAGTGCAGGCATTTCCTCGTATCCCGCCGTGCTATAACCCTGCTCTTCCTCTCTCCTGTGCTGCCCCCGGCCGCAGGTCTCACTCCATCGGGTAAGCGCTGCCCCCGCCCCGGGCCCCTCACAGCCCGCACCCCCCACCAGCCCAGCCCGCTGTTCCCTTCACACTGTGGATGCGCCTCAGTCAGAGAACCGAATCTTCCTAAGAGGGTTCACCCGAGGGGGTTACAGAGTGGAGGGCACCTAATGCATATGAATCCATTTAAGCCTATGTTTATCATTCCTTCCTACGTTGGCAGAGGTCCTTAACATTGAGAGGAGAAAAGGAAAGTGGTAATTGAGAGCTGTGTCTGTTTATGAAACTTCTAGAAAGTGAAGTCAAGAAACAGGGAATTATTTTCTCCAGATTGTAGTCTTTTTCTGAACTTCCTGTAGTTCACTTTCAACTTTCTGGACCTTCTGAAGTTGAGCAGGAGAAAGGTCAGGGGCGGAGCTCACGTGTTAGGAAGTGTGTAATTGTCGGTCCCAGGTCTCTGAATAAAGCCTCCGTTTAGGTAGAATCTTATATTCATTTAAAAAAATTTTTTTTCCTAAGAAAACTGCCTGCATTTAAAGAGATAAATAGATTGATGATTCTAATGGATTTCTCTTAGTAATTCTTGTTTTTAATGTAATTTATGAGGAAATATTTCACCCAGGATTTCTAAATGGAGTGTCTAGGGTAAGACTGCAGGTATCCCCTGAATTCTCTGCCCTTCTCTTTCTGAGTTCTACTAAAGAGCTGTCCCTACTAGTGGCCTCAGTGGATGTTGTCAGGGAAGGTGATGAGTTTGATCCCTTACAGGAGAAGAGAAGGGACTGTATTGGAAAGTGTGATGCGGGAATGTTAACCTAGGAAAATGGACCCCATTTTGCTTCCTCCCTCCACCCAGCATGATTCTGAGTGGAATTCACATAGCAATAACGGGCAGGCAGTCAGAAGGAAGATGACTCAGCCACTACAGGATTAATAGAGTGAGAAGCTGATGCTCTTAGAGCTCTCAGAGAAGTTGATCTTTGTACCAGATGCCCTAGGGTGGATGCAGAAGTCCTTGCTCCCAGGTCGGACTGTGTACATTGTGTCTACCTGGCGGGTTTCCTTGATTGGCTCATGTTAACTACGTCAAGTCCTCTGGAGAGCTTCTCTACGATGGAATGAGCAGCTTTTAGCTGCCTGGCTCTACCTGATGGGCACTATCCCTTGCCCCTTACTGTCTCTGGAACAGGAGAAGGGAATTGGACCAGGAGAACATGTTCACAGGCTGTTGGGCTGACCTGGGGGAAACCAGTCTCTTTGGATTTCCTTGCCTAAAGGGAACTACAGGAAGTAAAATAATATGCAGCCATGGACCATCTCTTCCTCCTTTATGCCTTTGGAAGTGACTGTCCTGCCCAACAGAAACAAACATCTTGGTGGGGAGGGCAAGGGGTACTTCAGATAGTTAAAATTGTTGTTTTAAAATTGTGAGTAAGGAGTTTCTCATGTACTTATATTGTATCTTCTTTTTTCTTTCTTTTTTTTTTTCCTCTTTTGCCCTGAAGCTACTCCATTCGCCATTCCATAAGTATGCCTGCTATGAGGTAATGTGGGTAAATTATTTTACATAAATCAATGCAGGATGTGGATAAAGTGTTACTTTATTGATACTTTGTGGGGTTTTTTCTTTCTTTATCTGAAAGGACGTGCCTTGACCTATCTTGTTCTCTTTTTTGATGCCCCTCGGGAAGAAAGGCTGACAACCGTGCAGAAGTATTGCAGGTGTGATGGGCTTGGCTGTTGCCCAGACACACCGGCTTAACCCCAGCCTCTCCTGGTTTGTGTGACCTGAGCCTAGTCTCCATTCTCTCGCACATATGCTGGGAGAAATGAGACCTACCTCATATGGTTGTTGTGAGATGTGTAACCTGGTTAGAGCACTTAGCACAGGGCCTGGAACATGCTGAACACACTTGCCAAGGTGGAAACCCTTTTATTTCCACAGAATTAAATGCAAGCCTGGGAGAAAGTTTCAATGAAAAGATAGGAGACGAAGAGGGCTGCAGTTCTAGAAAGGGCATCATTAGGGTTTTTTAAGGTATATATTAAGGCCAGGTGTCTGTTGAGCAAAAATATCTCTAAAATGACTGGTCAGATGAAAGCTCCCGAGAAAGATGTTCCTTGCTTCCAGGTGGCATGACTCAGTGACACAGTCAGATAAAATCACACTAATAGTAATAGAGTGTAGAGGCATGAATGTTATGTTGAAGATCAGAAGATGCAGGTTGCAACCCAGTTCTGCTAAGGATGAACCTGGCAGCCTCGGGAAGGTCACCTCAGTGATACCGTTTCACTATATTTAAAATAAAAGCCTGGAAGCAGATTTGCTGTTCTCCCCATGGTGCTTCCAGGAGCCCCAGCACTGCCTTGGGCTGCTGCGCGGGGGCACAGTGGGAGGGGAGCCTCTGGGACCCTCCCTCTCTTCAGTCAGAACTGTGCCTCTCCTTCCTGCTTTGTATTATATATTGTGGTGTGAGTACCCTCTAGAGGGAGTTCGCTTACTCTAAATGATTTGAGACCACTGAAGACGAATTCTTTCTAGGGTCACTTGCAGTGCTATAGATCTGTCTTTGTGTATGGTATGATTAAATCTGAATAAAGAGTTTCCCCCTGTTCTCCAGCATGCACTCTAGTGTAATTTAATTAAGGAAAAGTCTGTTTAATTATATCTAATGATGTCTCTTCGACACTGGGGTTATTCGGTTACTTTCGAAATTTAAGCACAGCATTTGATTTCTCTAATCTAATGATAAGTAGAGAGCATAGGTTCCAGATTGCTCATTAGTTCCTATTTGAATGACTTGCTCCCCCAGCATAAGAACACCCAAACTAAGTGCGGCCTGTGGCTCTGAGCGCCTGTACTTGTTCAATTTTAAGTCTGGGTGTCCAAAGAAAGCTTGAAAAAAAATTAATACGATTTTCCTCTCTGAACCAGGAATCCATCTAGTGACTTACAGGTCAAATGTGCCCCTCGTGAGCTTGCCTGAAATAACTTTTAAAAAAATGATTTAAAAAATGATTTTACTCAACTAACATATACCCATGAACCATTAGACTGGACTGTCTGCCCGCTGTGGTCCTGTGTAACTGATGGATGACAGGTAGTCATGTGACCAGCTGGGCCAAATAAAACTTGCCTTGGAGGTGTGGTGCTAATAATTATCTTCTGAGACATTCGTGTGTAATTTCGCTCATGTATCACCATGAGGTAGGTACTGTGGAGGACTACTCATAGGAATTTGACTCATGTTTGAATCAGATCCAAGACGTGATGCCAGGCTTAGACTCTGAACTCATCGTTGTTAATTCATACAGCCTGAGTTCAGTACATTGACTCCAAATGCATTTCTGACCATCTGGAGCGTCAGCGTCTTGGGAGACAATCCCTTACAAAGCCAAATGCATTCAAAAACGTATTCTCTACATTAGTTTCCTCTTAATAGTATTAGAGCCCTGCTGCATCCCACACTATACAATGAAGCCCATATTTATAGCCATCTCCCTTATGAAGTTTCTGTGGGCCATCCCTTTTATTTTATTTCTTCTGCACTCAAAAGAGAATGGCAAGTGACTTATCAAATATAGTGTCATTCTTTGACCTGAAAATGATGACAGTCGTTTTGCTGAAAGCTGACATGAATAGAAGATTTAAGACACACTTTTAATTCAGTTCCTGTTTCCTTGATTGGACTTGGTGATATCATTTTTAATGGAAATGATATCATTAAATTGTAATGTCATGTGGCCAAATCCAGTATAGGAAACCAAAAAGCACCAAATAGAAGATCTAAATATTAAAGTAACTAGATTATATATAGATTATTTAACACACTGAATGAATCATAAATAAAATGTTAGTAAACTTCAAAGTTTTTGTCTGGCAAGAAAAAATAAGTGTGTATTCTTTGGGAGGAAATATAATACATGGTAATAACACCATTTTGATCAAACATTAGACAAATGATGAGTGTATTTCCATTTAAAATAATGAAAGCATTGGCTTTTAGAGACAGTACTTCCTGGATGTAGACAAAGTACTTTTAAAACTTTAAAGTTTTAAAAACATATGTACCTTTTTTTTTTTAGCTTGAGCTATTCCTATCTTGTCTCACGTTCACTAAAATAAATGACTTAAAATTCCAACTGACATTCTTCAGGTAGACTTTCCATTGTTTACAAAACAACTGAGTTGGGAAAGGAATGTCATGACAGAAACAATTAACTAGTAAATGAAAAAATTAAGCTATCACTCCTTGGACATATTGGAAATGATTTATGGTGCACCATGGAATTATTATAGTTCTGTCATTGCCGAATGCTGTATTATTTACTCTATGAGTATTTGACTATTTTACTTAGAAAAATTCTACGTCAGGTTATGGTTTCTGAATCTAACCTAGCAGAAGTGAAATACATTTTAAAACACGGTTGGAGGAGGTGGCAAACCAACAACCAGCTCTAGTGCAGAGGGGATGTTTACAAGAGCAGAACACGAGACAGCACTGTTGCTAAGAGCTAGGTCTTTGGAGCTGACCTTTCTTTTTTTTGCTATTTTAGGAATTCTCCTACTTTCAAATCATTTGAGGAGAGGGTTGAGACAACTGTCACAAGCCTTAAGGTACAGATGAAGTGAATTTCGTGTCATTGGGTTCACTGAATCAGGCAGCTTAGTCACTGCTGCTGTTGGTTCCAAAGGTGGGGCTACCAGCATTTGGTGCAGCCCAGAAGGCAACCTTGCACAGAGTCACTCCTCTTCACATATAAGTCTATAAACAAAACCATCATTGAATGGTGTTGCTGTATCCATACGACATTGTTCGTACAAACCATTCAGAAGTGAATTATTCATTAAAGTGAATTGGGGTTTGTGTTCATCTCTTTGCTGGTTGGAACTTTATGCTATCCCCCAAGAAGTAGACATGTGGTAGATGACTGTGGAGAGGACAAAGGATATGTGAGTTCTGAATTTAGAGTGTCAGTGAAAATTCAGTAATAGCTCAGAGCTCCTCTGGTTTGGACATGAACTTGGCTCCAGGCATTATGCTGCCATACACCACCCGTCAACACCTAGACTTGTTTACTCCACTCACATACTGAGCACAGCCTGGGATCATTGTCATGGAGGGAAATAAAGCTGAGTCAAAAAATGCATTATTTCGCAATAGTGAATTTGTGCCCTGGGTATAAACTGAAAGTATCCCTGTTGTATGGGAGGTGCTAAAAGATATTCATTGAATGTATTGTTTGAGCATGGATAAGTTCGTCCACAGGGGATAAAAGAGCAAAAATAAAATCAGTCTACTCTTAAAATTTATGTAACTTTTAAAACAGGAAAGAAAAAATCATTGATACTACTAAGTTTTTTTTTAAGATATCACCTAAGCTTAATATCATTAGCACTATTTCATATACAATCCAATTCTGTGTTCCTATTACTGGAAAAATTAAGTACGATGTGATCTTTAACCAGATCAAAGCAGATACAGGCACGTGCTGATTACTGGCTGCTTCTGAATCAGGCCCTTACATGTGCTGCCTGACAAGAGTCTGTGAGGGTGTAAGTTAATCCTTACTCAACATCCTAGGTGCTCTTACTGATTTTGAATTGGAAGATCTTTCCCATTAGAGGAGGGTTTTCACATAGTCTTCTCTTTACTGGGCCTGTGATTAGGTGGTTAAGGCCCAAGAATGAAATTATTACTCAGCATTTATCATGCCTTCATGGGTTCCATGTACCAGTAGCTTCTGGTTGTGCACTTTTACTCCTCTGTGTGTCCACATTATCATTTATTGAGTGGATAGGGACCAGTAGGAGCCATGCAACTGCCCCTATTTATAGGGAAAACTTTTGATAGAGAGGGAGATGCAGTGTCAGAGACATTCCTCTTGCCAAAATATCTCGTTTCAAAACAAAAGATTCCAAAAAACCCTAGAAGTGAATTACTCGACATTTGGTTCTCAGCCTTAGACAATCCAAGGAGGGTGGATTCTGCTGTGAGACAAGTTCTGACGTAGGACAAGTTGTACTTTTTAGGTGATCTATGGAAGAAGGAAATATGAAGAAGCAAAAGAAGAATAAAGAACAGCCTATTTTCATTTGCTTTTAGGAAACTCTGGTAAGCTCACAGCTCACATAGTTAAATCCTAAGTGTTTGATCCAAACTCTCAATCTCTCACTTTTCTCACCTCCGTGGGATGGAAGGCATAGAGCCTGCCTCCGCCTTCACGCGTGCACAAATCTAACTCCGCCGACTGGATCCTAGCCTGTGTCAAGCACTCCTAAAAGGAGGTTCTGTGTCTGCATGATTGTCCATTGATTTAACAAGAGTAACATCCCACCCACCTCCTGTCATGGCCAATGCCTAGCTTCTCTTTTTCTGCCCACACAGGCAATGGAGAAAAGCTAGTAATCATGTTCTGTGTCAAACTTCCCACTTCCTCAATAATCACAAAATTCTCATTCCTTTTTCTTTATCTCCATACTAAATAATAGACGTTTGACCCTTCTTTATATAGTGTATTTTCTGCTTAGTTTACTTCCGTGTTCTGAGTCTTCTCCAAAACTTTTAGAACTTTCTTCAGTTAAGGATCCTGAGGCTGTTTCCAGCTGAGGGAGTGACTCGTGAATCAGTCAGGATGCGTGAACGTCCTTGCAAGTCTATATGCTGTATTTCCACTCACACACACTGCTTGAAGTTTGATTTTTTTCCAGCACCACTTAAAGGGAACCGTATTCATATTTGTGTTCTGTTAGAAATAATGTTCTGCAGTGAAGTGGGGTCCGTTCCTGCCATCTTCTCACCCAGTCTGTCACACCATCTGGTATTTGCACACAATGGACTGTTCAAATTTTATACCCAATTGTGTAGCTGGTTTGATTTTTCATGAAAAACTTGCCAGAGCCTCATAATCATATAAAATTGGGTCCTGTCTGCCTGCATCCTTTTAATACATCAATGTATTACTTGACATCTTGGGCGGTGTCACCTGTACACTCAATGAGCACAATTTCTATTTAATCTAAAACAAGCAAACAGAAAGCAAACCCAGAATCAGCTCCTACGAAACCATATTTGGAACGTTCTACCATGTTCCAGTGATTCATGAGCAACCACATCCCTTCCAAACTGTTCTGTACTCATGTCAAGGAGAACATATTTTTAGTGCACCTAATTTTTGATGAGCACATTAAACCTGAATTAAAAACCTTTAAAAAAATAAAAGGCAAGATATATTATGCTTACCGTTTCTTTGTGTCCTTTCAACCAGGTATTTTATTATGAGAGATTAGGAAGCCTAATTCAGTAATTCAAGGTTTTGGGGGGGGTTGGGGGTTTTTTTTGTTTGTTTTTTTGCAAAGAGCAATTATAATGTTGGGGACAAGTGACAAATTTTAGATGAAAAACTATTTTGAAGGGAAGGGTCCAGGAGAGGCTTACTGTTCACATCTTTCCTTAAGCAGATCCTTGCCTGAAGTACTGTAGTGTGCAGTCATTCAACCCACATGGTTAGGAAACCCCTTAGTCCATTCCCTTCTTTGCAAATTGCTTTATTTCAGAGTGGTTCCCTCCTTTATTTTTCTTATTTTGATTTGAGAAATTAAGAACTAGAAGAGAAGAATAAAACAAAACCTAGAAGAAAACATCAGTCATTGGTATTCACCCAATTCGATACCATGGGTGACTTCTGTTGAAAAGAGAATCCAAATAAAGAGAAGGATGGGAACTATTAATAGAATCTATTACATGGAATTAATCTTGTCTCTCTCGGAAAAGAAATAAGCAGAATGAACAATCACATAGTGGAAACCAACCCCCTGCTTCTTCCCAGGGCTGCGACAACACAGAGTGGAGGAGAACTCCATGCTCTGTGCCTGAGGTCTGCAAACTAAGGCTTGTGGGCCATATCCAGCTGGTTGCCTATTTTTGAATGGTCTATAGGCTAAGAATGGTGGTTTTACATTTTTTCATGGCTGAAAAAAATCAAAGGAACAATAGTATCTTATGACATGAAGATTAAATTACATGAAATTCCCATTTCAGTGTCCATACATACAGCCTGTATAGAACACAACCGTGTTCAGTCTCTTACGTATTATCTTGTCTGCTTTCTACAGTGGCTGATTTGAGTATTTGTGGCAGAGACTATGTGATTCCCAAGCCTAAAATATTTATAATCTGTCACTTTCCAGAATGAGTTTTCCAACCCCAAGTAGAGTGGAAAAATTCACTTTAGTAACTGAATTTACAGAGGCAGAGAAGGGTTTTAGTGACTGGGAGAAAAATGTGTGTGTGATTTGCGATGGTTGACCTGCTTTTAAACCCGGGTTAAGGTTTTAGAAAGGGCAGGTCAGGCAGTAAGCAGCTACATTCTTCAGTGTGGTTTCTGTCCTGTGAGTGATCACCTTGGTAACAGTGAGGTGTAGGCAGCATTTTGGGAGTGGCAACATTATCTATTCTATACCTTTCTTTTTCTCAGAGTGTTTTTCCATATTGTTAATGGTTAAAGCAGGGCCAATGTGACCATAAATAAGCTTGCATTAAGCATTGTGGACAATTGAATAGTCCTTTAAAGGATTTTTTTAATAAATAATTTTTCAAAATACTTAACGGTATTTCTTAATTGTAAATTGATTTCTTCCTGATTATATTCTTATTAGCCAATAACAGGTACACAGAAAGGGAGCCTCGCAAAGCATCTTAACTTTGCATTTTAAGGGATGTTCCTCCTATAAAGACAACTGCCTGGAAAGATGTGAGGTGACCAGTGCCTAAGCTATGATTCTTCTCCAACTCTCAAGTTGCTCAATCCCAAATTGAAAACTTAAGCTGAAGTCACTTAAAGGCGTTCATCCATTTGTAAAATTGGGGGAATTTTTCTAATATCCAGTTACGTTTTTATGAAATCGGTGGCTGCGTAGATGGCGCAAATCCACAGATCTGGAGCACCTCCAGAAGGGATTGAGAATTTTAGATGTAGGGGAGATGAAGAGAGCGCTGATAAAGTTGTATAAAAGTAAAGTTTCGAATGCAATCCCAGAACCCAAATATGAATGACATCCTAGCCCTCTGCTAAAGGAAACTAACTTCTGGACATCTTTTGCACCCCCTCTCAAGGAAAAATGCATTTCTGTACTTGAAAGTAATTGCTCTTACAAAGCAAGACAGATACAAGAATTAATTGCGCCCTTGCGTCTCTGCCCCTTTCAGACGAAAGTAGGCGGGACGAGCCACGGCGGAGGCAGCTTTGAGGAGGTGCTCAGCTCCACGGCCCATGCCAGCGCGCA